GTCTATTGCAATAAATCACAATTAAGAGCAACAATTTGCTAATCATGAAAGATGTAGCAATGTCTGGAGGTATTTTGGGTTGTAACTAGGGGATGCTACTGGCATCTAGTAGGCAGAGGACAAAGATACTATTAAACATTCTATAATGCACAAGAAAGGCTACAACAAAAAATTATCCAGGTCTAAATGTCAATTGTGTCAATAATGTTGAGATTGAGAAACATAGCTGTAGGATATACCTATTTGTCTCTAGGATTCAGGGAGAGAAAACTTGGTTTTAGATCATGCACTTAAACTTAGAACATTTTCTTTATTAAAACTAAGTAATAAGTGGTAGCTTCGGCAGCACATAATAATATGTATTTTTTAAAGATACATAAACACAGCAGCAAAATAGAAATTTTTATAATTTGTAAAAATAAAGTTTATTCAGTGTTTCAAATAACACGCAAACATACACTTAAAAATCCCTGTAATTCAATTAACAAATACTTATTGAACAACTTCTATGTTAGACACTAAGATAGATACTGAGGATTCAACAATGAATCCCTCGTGAAGCTCACAATACTTAAATTTCTTCAAGATGCTAGTTCTCTGCATGTAAGTAATAAATCAGTAAGAGTATAGAAGAATTCCTGTCATAAAGAAGCTCATAATCCAATAATGCAACAACATGTAAATAAGAGGTTTTCTATAGCAAAGTTTTAGTATTTTTGAATGGTGTTATTTTTTCCTATAACTTAGAAATAACAAAAATAACTTGGATATTTCAAATTGCAACTGAAACAGCAGGGACTAAAGAAATTTAATATACTCCAATGATCCTTTTTTTTTTTAAAACTCTTTTCCCCCATAATATATCCTCCTACTTCTTTCAGGTAAAAGTCTACTGGGACAATACCTCTTTTTCTTATGAAAACTGTTACAATGAAGGATTTTGAAAAGTTTAATAAAATTTAAATATATGTCATTCTATTCTCTTTTTACCTGTGTTGTGATATGTATCTACCCATCCCCCATCACCATCATCTTCTTCAATGATAGCTTCCAATTCATCTGAATATTCCATCTGTTTGCACCGCTTGTAGCATGGCACTATAAAAAAAAGGGAAACACAGTTACTAGTACACAATCCATTAACCACAAATCTGTTAAAAAGAAGAAAATGCTTATTCCATTATATTTATTTATGCTATAAAATTATTAAGTGAATATATTTCACTTCAAATGAAAGTGGTTAAGAATTACATTCAGCCCACAGACATATAACTACTTATTTGACCACATTAATCTTTCCCTGAATGACTTTGTCAGAAGACAAGTAGAAAGGCTCTAGTGGGAGTGTTCTACATATTTCTTTACCATAATGGTCTGTAAAGAACTGTAGGCTGAAGTTAGATGGCACTGTTCAATTTCAGGCTAATCCAACAATAACCTTGAAGTAATGGCTTTACTCTCAGAACATGGCAGTACCACATGTCAGAATTCATTTTTAAGTTCTAGTTATTCTAATGGATAAAACAGTTTAAAGTCAAACAAACTGCTAAATTTTACCCCCTTATACAATATTGGTGAGCAGTTTTTCACAAAGCAAATGTGTCAATTAATAAGTATTTTTACTCATAAGCCTTAAAATTGAACAATTATAAGGTAAGAACATGATGTAGGGTAAACAAATTGCTATGAATATCCTGATTTACTTAATCAGAATATAAATAATAAATTCTAAAAGTAAATATACTGAAGGGAATAAAAAATACTGGTTTTTTACATATTATTTTTCCTTTCCCATATGGGATAAGTTAGAATGAAAATCAATATATTGTTATGTGATTATTTAATGACTATCATAAATTTTTAGTGCTATTTTAACTTCATAAATAAGATATCTGCTTCAAAACATTTTTTTTTTTTTTGCCTATAGGCAATCCTTCAATAGCACATGGAAGATAAAATATTTAGCTTTGAACTTTTAAACGTCAAAGGTAGGCAGTATCAGTTAAATATCCAATTAGGAGAAATCCAACTTTTCTTAGGACCCTCTTCCTCCATATCTTGACAACCAAATTTTTTTCTTTTTTGGCAAAAATAAATAACAAAAAGGAAGAGGAGACAAAAATCAACTAAGAAAAATTACTCCAAGAATAGAAAATTTAGAGCTTCATAAAATTTCCTCATTTCTGTCTGAAAAGCTTTTAGACCAGTTTTAGGAATAAATTAGAAATCTGGTAAGTGTCAACTGTTGTTTTTAATATAACTGTGCAAAGTTTACCAATGTATACAACATAATTCTTACCATTTTTGGTTACCAAAAATTGTTTGCCTGTTGGTAGGTATGCCTTCACTTTCAATTCTTCCCCTGTAGCCCTTTAAAAATAGTGAAAAGCACCAAAATACAAAATATATTTTATCAAATATGGAACAGAAGATATAAAAGTAAATCTCAAAACTATAGAATCCACACTACTAGGGGAATTGTTTTAGGATTGATTGGGGAAAAATGTCTTTAACTGATTGTGTCAGGACAGAGAAAAGCATAACAATAATATAAATGAAATATACTAAGAGATGCAGACAGACTTCAGAGAATTTGGATTAAATATTTGACAAAAACTGTAAGATAATAGAACTATCAAGCAACCATTATATCTCGCCTCTAAGCAAAAAGAAAATGCTGCTCTCACGGAGCTGTATTTCATTGAATAATCTTTCACATTATCAATCCAAATTGTAGTTCATCTTGAGAATCAAGAAAAGACAGACAGACAGACAGAAAGAAAGAAAGGAAGAAAGAAAGAAAAAAGCTGCATGTCATTACATAACAAAGTAGGTGGTTGGCAAGATCCCTGTTCCTACCACTGTATTAAAATTGGAACTAAGAAAAGATGGCTTTGAATCACAAGATGATAATATTGAGAATAATAATGCTTTAAAAAGTTTCTTTTATTGGATGTTAGAACTCAAACATACACTATTATTAATTAATTTTCATAATTCTAAGACATAGCTAATGTTAAGACGTAGCTAATATGCCATTTTATAGGCAGGTAAACTAAAGCTTAAAGGGGTCAGGTTGCCCACAGTCACAAAACCAGAAGGTGTAAAGAAAGAGGATCAAGCCAAGCAACTCCAGGATTCCTACTCTTAAATTACTTTTTCTGTGGGTCAGAACCAATTGTAACTTTTTTTTTTTTTTAAGCTATTCTGACATTTCTCATCAAGAATTTGTGGGCTATCTACTAGGCTTAGCCAGAATCGAGATGGCACATGTTTTCTTCACAAATTTAAGAACACAAACTTGGGAGTTTGACTGCCTTTTTAAGCTTCTGCAGAAATTTCGAGCCATAGTCTGCAGCATAAGATAAAACCAGGAAATATGCCCTAATACATTTAACATCTCTTCTTTCAACTAATCTCAGTTGTCAAATTCAACAATATGATGACAATGCCTAAGGTTACGAAGGAAAAAGTTAAAAAAAGTTCATGATAGCACTTGAGCACATGACAAGTACTGATATAGAAATAATCTGTTTCTATCAATGATTTAAGATCATTCCTTTGGCCCCAGCAATTCAGTCAGAAGCATGGACACTGGGTGGAATATAATTGTGTTCTAAGTTACAAAAAAATTATTTCAACAATCATAATTCATAAACTAGAACTCTATTAACCCCTATTCATAAAATAGATCTACTACTAGAAGATCTTGTCCTTATATACAAACCCCTATCACAATGCTACCAATCAGATAGCTAAACTTAGACAATTAAAGTTTACAATAAAGAAATTTCAATATAGAAAATGAATGTCATATCTTCACAAAAGAAACATTAATATTTTATATCTATTTGTATTGAAATATATTAAATTATAGACCAGAACCTACTTTTCACAAAAAGCTTAGAATATAAGGGGAAAAAACCCCATAACTTTCTTGAATCAAAGTACATAAAAGAACTTCTATGATATGAATTTAATTTTCTTAAATATGGAACAGAGATACAAGGATAAAAGAAAAAGACATAAAAATAGATATAGCTGATGATATTTTGGCTTTTCTTGGTACATAAAAAAACAATGCCCTAAAATATAAAAACTAGGAAAAAGCAACAACCAGTGTTTCAGGTACATGGTAAATATAAAGGAGAATAAAACTAGGTTACAGTACTGAAACTATTTAAGTTCTTTAGAAATTAAGAAAAAACATTGTCAATTAAAACCTTGTTAATTCTAGAACCACTGCCCCCAACCAAATCTATCTTTCAGCTACAAATTAAAAAAAAAAATAACAAAAAAAAAAAAAATCACAATAAATTGAAACAGCTACATTCACACAAGATGATTAATTCCAAACAATTCTAAACTGAATAAATACATCTCCTAGTATTGGGATCTCTTTTTCTATAAACTGTAACCATTAATTAGTACTTGAAAGTAATGAAATTTCAGTTGCTTTAAAACTTTGTTATTTTTCAGAATATTTCAAAGGATATGTTGTATTTAATTACTTTATTAATTATGAGTTAATAAAGAAAATAAAAGCTTTAAGTCTATCATAAGTAGATTTATAGTCAAGATCTTAATTAGTATCATGAACCTTTTTTAACTTTGACAATTTGTAAAGAGGGTACTTACTTTTCAACCTTAATAAAAATGTTCATACTTTATGTTTTTTTTAAAAAAAGGATACCAAATATTTGTATTTGTTGTCATAAAAAATGTTCAATAAACATTGGTTAAATTGAATAAAGAAACAAATTAAATTTATTAAACACCTGAACATTATTTTTTTAAAGAACCACAAAATTAGACACAGACACTACAAAGGGAATACTAGTAAAGAAGGTAAACAGGTAAATCTCCAATATGTCCATCTTTTGTGTTAATGGAACAAAATAAAAAGGTACAACACCATTTTCTTCCTTCATTTTACTTTGACTATCACTGGGGTATTATTTGAAAAAAATCTACAGGAAGTAGGTTAAGCTTGTTATTCTAATTTCCATACATTAACCTATTTTGCAAACTGCCATAATTCTGAAGTCATTCTTTTTCTAGTTTTCTATTTTTCACTTAAGATTACTTACCATTGCCATGTTGGACAGTGGTGTACTAAGTGATCTCCAGCTGCCACAAACTTGATTTGGAAGGAATATGAAAGAGGGAAAAAGAAAAATGGAACATCACTAAATGTGGGGTTGCAAAATACCAGACTGATCACTCTGGATACCTATCAATCAATTAAGGTGTAAAAAGCACCAAACCTGCTCTATCAGCTCCAACACTTATTTTTGACTATTATTACTGTACTTTGTTATTTATATGCGGTGCTTAGAGTTTAACTCAGTGCCTCACACATGCCAGGCAAGCACTCTACCACTGAGCCATAATCCCAGCCCTGATTATTAACATTGATTAATAAAATATAGAGATTCTTGGTAATGACTGAAAAACTCAGTGTAAACCTTTGAAAAAATAACTAAATAGGTACAGGTATCAGATGTAATAGTACTCTTACATCACAGTGTATGCTTCTTTTACTTATATAATTAATATTTCTGTATATGCAAATATATAGGTATATATGGGTGTATATGTACATATTTATTTATTTATTGTAGTACTAAGGATTCAATCAGTGGTACTCTATGTGGCTTTTTTTTTTTTTTAAATAACCTTAATTTCTTTGTTCTTGTTCCTTTCCTTTTCTCTGTTTTTTCTTTTTCAATGCTAGGGATTGAACCCAGGGCTTTGTATGTATGCTAGGTAAGCATTCTTATCACTGAACTACACCCCTAGCATTCTCTTTATGATATTTTTTAAAACCTAAGTAAGGACCAATTTTGAAAACTTCATCATACTCTTTAAGAAATCATTAATAACAAAAATGTAGTGCCAAACAATGAGGGAAAAGTTAAAAATTATTGAACTTACACTGAAAACACATAAAAAAAACTAAGAAATGAAATTCTAATCCTTAGGCTTTATGGCAGGTTGAACACTATGTGCATTTTATTTCCTTCAGAAAAAAAAAAGACTAAGAATAACTGAAACTTTTGAAAATTTCCAGTTCATATGGACTTAAGGTGATTTTACTAAAGGACAGTAATCCACTTATTTTTTAGCAGAAAACGGAAGAAGCATAACTACAGTGTCCAAACTCAAGCAATATATGCACATACTTTCCCAACTGCTTCTATTTCACAACAGCTCTAATTTAAAAAATTGCATTGTTTATGGGTTTATTAAACAGCCAAAAAAAATCACAATATATTTAGTCTTCTAATGATTCCCCAAGAAAGTATATCTATATAAAATACTGTTTTGAGAGTAAAACTCCTATCAAGTGAAAATTTTGAGAATAACCTATTTTAAGATGACATATCATCAAGATATATCAATTATATTCCCATAGGAAATTTCTAAGTGTTTATTTTCTTTCATTTCATATAATCTTTTTATTATTTAAACTAGTTAAGTAAAGACAAAAACCAAAATGAAAACAATAGTTTTGTTCTTAAGTCAAGCATTTTGGGGTCACTGGAACAAATGCTACTTTAGTTCTGTGGTTATCAGCAGCAAAAGAAAGAATTTACCCCTTTTATCCACAGTATTCTTTTGTACGGTTTCTGTTACCCATAGTGCAATGTAGTCTGAAAATAGTAAATGGAAAATTCCAGAAATAAATAATTCATACATTTTTTAAAAGTAATAATTTAACAAAATGGAAGTTAAATTAAGTAATTAAAAATAAAAATTCTTTAATTATATTGCCTTGAAGTCACAAGACTAATTTTATTCCTGGGTCACTCTACTGGTATCCATTAATTAAAAAAAAAAAATCAAACACTAGAAAGTAAAGAAAACTATTTTGAAGAACACAGAATTATACCAATAACCAGCACATGTGTACAGTTACTCTCATTAGCAATGACCATTATTACTTGCTTTGCATTTTCAAATGAAATAACGTGTAAAATAATGTCAAATTTCAAATTATCAACCGTTTGCTTGTACTTTTCTCTTTCTGATTAAATATTTTCTATTTGTCAATAGATAATAAAGAATAACTTCAACATGATAGAACCAATATTTACATTTTGGTGAGCAATTTTATTCCTCAACCTACCCTTTATTAATAGAATTCTAATTAATCAAGTTATTACACACATCCAACATTATTTTTCTTCCCAGACAATATCATGTTAGACACTGGCTGTCCCTCTTTTTAAACACAAATACTTTTACAACCTCTCAATGAAAACAAAAAGATAGTTGGAGACTGACAGTAAGAAGCCCAGAAACAGGAAAAACAAATGAATTTTATATATAGTATTTACTCAAAGCAAATACTGTCTTCCCATTTTCCTTCTCCAGTGTCATTTTAAACTAACTCAAATCCTGTAATTGTGCTCTATCCCAACCCAACATTACGTGGATAGTACCCAAGTTGGGTAGTTTTGTCTTGATTATTTTTTAAGAAAAAAAATAACTAACTTTTTTCATGGTATCAAGTATAACAGCTACTCATTTTAGGATGAATTCCTATCTTAAGCTTAATTCTATTCAACAACCATAGATTGCATCTCTAATATCCACTAATAATTAGTCATCTTCATGTAGTCAAGATAAAGCCTGAGAGTACAAGAACAACAAATGCTCATCTCTGCTTTTGATTTCAGATACTTAAAGAGCCATGTCTACATTATAATTCTGGTTGGCAAGAAAATGTTAGCCTTTTGATCATAACTTTTGTTTGTTTTTTTTGGGGGGGTATTCAAGGTATTAAACTCATGAAACCTAAGGTAGAATAAATTCTTCAGAGAATGTCTAGCTCAAGCTCTTCCTCTTACAGATGAGGAAACATGAGGCCTGGACTTAGATAGCTTAATCGATGTGACAAAATAAATAGAAATTGGAGAAATGGGTCTAGAAAGTAGGTCTTCTAGGCTTTTTTTTTTTTCATTCTACCATGTGTCTTCATTAAAATTAAAGGCAGTTTTAGATAAAAGATCAGTTTAAGAAACCATTCTTAAATCTCAGAGGGATTTGGGACTGGGAAGATGCCATCATAATGAAAACTGATAGATCAGTTAATTCTTTGGCCTGAGGACCTGGAATGCACAGCTGCAACAGTGGTCCCATCATGTAATATGACTTATTTCAAAACATTTCTTTTAAAATAATGAATACAGATTGCCAATGAACAGTGTTTCCAGTGAGTTCAAGATCAAACTTAAATAAATCCCTTGCCTTTTACTTAAAAAACAAAATAAATCTGATACAAAGCTGGAACCAAAAAGGGCTTTTAGCTCAGTATATACTTAACTTTTCTAAGGATAAAATACATAATGAAAGAGAACTCTTGTCATACAGATTTGGTCAATAAGCGAAATGATTCTTCAAAACATAATTCTATGTTTAAAGTTCAATAAAATACAACTGACCTATCACATAGCTGTTAGTTCCAGTTCCAAGCAGTTTCAACATTACTTGTTTAGTAGAAAAGGTAAACTAAATGAGCGCCCAGTAGGTAACAATATATTTATTCTGAATATTAAGAGAAAATTTTAGCAATGAGTAAAGTTTCCAGACAGAAAACTATAAAAATTCACATTTGGTATAGACAGAGCCTGTAACAGCAACCCTACGAGCCCACTGCAAAGCTCAATACAATAATAAATATGAATAAAGGATGTGACCATAGGAATCTTTCCCATTCCCTCAAACACCTTCATTTCTATATAAAGAGGAACTACAGAGAAATAAGAGAAGTTGCAAACTGAGAAGGAAGTTACATCTTCTCTTCTATAGGAAGCAGAAATTCCCATAAATCACCAAAATCTAACTGTAGTGAAATCAAAAAGTTCAAGATGTTCTCTCACAAAGCAAAAACTCCAGTTTAATACAATTTTAGAAAATAAAGATTTTAAAATATCTCAAACACTTACCTCTTCTGGGGTGATTACACCTGTTTCCTTAAATTTTGATTCCTAAAGAAAGCAAAAACAATAATATAATAATATCTTTCAATTTCAATTACAAAATGTTTCAGGGCAATGAATTCTTCTATGCAATAGAGTACATTCAAAAAATTATACACTGTGCATACCGTGTATGTCATACCACAAAGATATATAAAAGCCTAATGTAGAAAACTTAAATGAAAATAACAATAAAACAATTTGATCACAGTTCTAAGAAAAAACATTCAAAGGTTTAAATAAGCATGAAGCTTTACAATGATTCTGTGCAATGAACAAATATCTTTATTTAACAGCACCATAAAAATGACTCAAAGATGTTTAAGAATCTTAACAAATCTTATTTAAACTGAGTAATATTAGAAATCAAATGAAGGAATCATTTAATATTTTCCATTACTCTCATCTCCACCAAGATATTAAAACAATATTCTTTCCTCTAAGTAAGGTATGGTATTTATTAAATTTTTCTAAATTTTAAGCTATAAGTAAGATTTTGTGGTAGCCTACAAAAAATGAAAAGATTCATTTATAAACATTACTCATTCAACAAATATTTACCAACTACTTTGTGCCAGGCAATGGTATGTATGTATGAATAAAATAGACCAAACTCATCTTTGCTCTCAAAAACTATTTTAATTCTAGTTGAGGAAAAAAAAGTCAAATGATAATGAATAGCATACTATTAAAAAAAATGAAGCAGAGAGGAATCTGCCAGGTGGTAGGGAGACAGCCATGAAAAATTGAAATAAGGGTTGAGAATATAGCTCAGTTGGTAGAGTGCTTGTCTTGCATACATAAGACCCTGGGTTCAATATCCAGCACCACCAAAACAAACAAAAATATTGAAATAAGAGAATAAAGATAAGTAACTTAAACACTTATGTCAATAAACAAACCATAAAGCCCTCTGGAGGGAGAGCATTTCAAGTTGAGAGAAGAGCAAATGCAAAAGCTTAGAAGCAGGACTGTGTTTGATAGAGTGCTAAAGAGGTCAAGTTGGCTTAAAGCAAAAGTGTTCATGAGACAGAGTAGTACTTGAGATTGCAATTTCTACCGATTAAGTACAGCCTTGAAAATCATTATCAGGACTTAAGTTTTTACTGTATGTATGTTCCTTAAACAAAACATGATTTTTTTCTTAAGTTTAGCAGAATTCATTATTTCTTTCTTAGGAATTTTTCCTTTTTTCTCCTTCCCTCATTTAGCAGGAAACTTTAAGGATTCTCTCTGTAAACCAAGAGCAAAGGAGTGACAGGAGAGGGTCATAATTCTGCTTTCCTTTATAGTAAAAATATATACCTTACATACTAACAGGTTAACACTTCTTTCCAGTTGAGAAACAAGTAAAATGATTCTTCAAAACAATATATGTCATAAATTCAATAAAATACAGACTATTAAATAACTTTTATATTTAAGAGATCTTTGATTCATCTCTTATTGAAACTAAAAAGTTGTACAAACGTGGATTGTTAAAATGCTGTACACCTAGGTAAACATGCTATTCTGAAAAGGTATAACATAAGATGAAGTAGAAACATTTGATTCAATGTCAAAATTATTTTTGAATTTTAAATAGTTGACTGAAAAAGCTTAATTAACTAAAATGACTTTCACAGTAAACAAACAAAATGAAAGCAAGAGTTAGGATCCCATTTAACTGTACCTGACTTTTTTCTTACTTGGCCCAACAAGGTCTCATTTCAAAAGGAGTCTTGGAAGTGAATTATGTTAAAAACAAAAACATACAGACCTAACATTTCTCTATGTCAAAGAAAGGAAGTAAAACTGCCAACCATTTCTCTTATTATATCACAATATTTTATCCCCACACTAAGATTAGTAAAATTCGAATCAAAAGTTAATAAAAGAACAAAATGAAAGAAAAGTAAGAGAGCACTTGCCAGTCATTTAGTATCACGATGCACTTTTCAGAAAAAGTTCAAAAATAGATGCCCCAGAATAAGAGAAACTTGACTGCAGTTCTAGAAATTTATCTCTGAGAATACGAAACAATTCAGTCACTGCTGTAACAGCTAATGCATTACAATTTTTACTTTGTAAGTGCTGTATTTTGCCAATATACTAAAAATTATATATTCAAGCGAGTCAAGCTGCTCTTTATTATCACTGAAAGTCCAAGATTAAAAACCAGTTACTGATATTTTTAAAACTTGGGAAAGCATAGTTCTGCTCTTCAGTTCAAGTACAATGTTAATGTTACCAATTTCACTTCGTTCCTATAAACTCTAAAGGAATAGGAACCTCAGTCACTATTTACGTATTTCATACTTATAAAAAATCTTTCTCTGAAACTTGAGGGTGGGGGAGTGTCATATGTCATTTTGCTACCAAGACTTATTTCATTCTACCAAAATAAGCAAAATCCTTGGTTAAATGTTTTAAACTTCCGATGTTAGGATTTAACATTGTTAAATCGTCCTAGCTGCCGACCACCTTCCAACCCTACAAACCAGACGCAGAGTTGTGAAGGGTGGAGACCCGAGCACACACACAGAGCGTCGCTCCAAGTTTATCAGTGAAGAGCCAGAGAGCCCTACCGAACCATAAGGGGAGACCAGGGACGGGGGCTCCCCCTTCTGTGCGTCCCACCCTTACACCTTCCTACACTGTTCCTCGTCAGATAACAGGGGTCTCCTCTGGCGCCCGGTCCTTGCAGAGCTGAGCGTGAGCCTGACAGCCCCCGGCAAGCCCGCCCGGCTTACCTTGAGGACCGGGGTCAGGTACTCAGCCACTTCCAGTGCCTTTCCCTTCACCGTGTTAATCACATTCTGCATCCTGGGGCCGGAACAGCGGCCGGCCCCGCGATGGGATGGGGAGGGCAGCCGGGATAGGGGCCGGGAAGTCAAAAGATGTCCCCAATGCCGCCGACTCGCATAGGCACACAGACGGCAGCACCCGAAGGGACGGGACAAGACGGGACGGGAAGCGATGGGATGGACGGGGGGAGGGGCGACGAGCGCCGCACGAGAGGGCAGGGCGCGCGCTCCTCACGCCCCAGGCAGCACGCGGCCGGCCGGGCCCAGCTGTCACCAGGCTGCGAGCGACCAAAGTAGGGCCGATCGGAGAGCTACAGGGAGAGGCAAATGTACACGCAGCCCTAGCCCTCCCGGGAGCTGTCTTTCCCCCCGCCCCCCTTGCCTCATTCGCACCCCTTCCGACTTCCCCTTCCTCTCACTCTCGCAGTAGCTCCGCCGCCACCTGGGCCTCACGTGACACCAGACTCCCCCGTCACGTGACACCAGAAAGGCCGAGTGGGGCGGGATCGCGCCTCTTCTCCCCTCCCGCCGGAAGCCTAACCCTGAGCGCGCTTGCGCAATGGGCGCCGAGTACGCTCTATCCAGGTCGAGACGTTATCTTGCTTTTTGTTCCGGAATAAGGAGCCGAGGGGAGAGGCTTTTTCGCCTCTGTTTCCCTCTTATAGCTTCCCTTCCTATGGACCGTAAAAACCTACTGCTGCTACTACGGAGCTAAACAATCACTGTCTTAGCTCTATGATGTGCGTTCTTCCACTAGAAGCTTTTCTGACGGCTGAGGTAACCGCGCCCCGCAGGCAAAGTATTGCGCGTGCGCATGAAAGGGGGGGGAGTGTTGCCAGTCGAGCTCCTTACTGCGCAGGTGTAATGAAAGGGTTTCCCTTTCTGTGGAGGGAAACCTGGCCTCCTTGTAAACTGGAGGTGTCTCGTTGGTTCTGTCATGCTTGTGCCTGGCTGCGCTGTAGAATTGGCATTTTCTCTCCAGTCCCGGGCTCCATGTGCGGTGCTTACCGGTATGCTGGGAGGCTTTGGGCAGGTACTCACCCAGCCTGGGATTTCGTGTCCTCAAGCTGTCAAAAGAGGCCTGAGACTCGTTGAACCCAAAGATTGGCTCTTCTGTTTCCCACACCAGTGGAGTAAAAATTAGCAGCTGTGTTTTAGACATTTTCATTTTGGTCATTATGACAACGAAATCTCTCCCAGAAAACCCCTTCATCTGAGGGAAGAGCTGCTACTCAAAATGTAATTCCAAAATCCTGTTTCTGGTTTCAGGGAAAAGTTGCTGATGAGTTGGACTGCTTTTCTACAGTACCAAAATGTCAGATTCTCACTGGCAACGATTGGTCAGCATTTCTAATCCGGCCCTGCCGTTTCTCTCTCTCGAGTACCCCCTCTTAACAGATTTTGATTTTGATTTTTCATTTCCTTTCCCCATTTTTCTCCTGTATTCAAGTTTTTTGATTCTGATATAGCCATAGCCAGATTACTGAAAATTTCCTAGTCTGCACAGTCAGTGATATTTGCATTATGTTTAATCTCTAGGTCTGACAACAGGGTTACTCATGAAAGTGTTGTTCTCTTTAAGGCAATTTAAAATCAGTACAATGGAAAGAAAGTGCTGTAGGCGGCCTGGGTTATGGCCCTTCTCAACAATGTATACATTCCTGCTAGGTGCCTTATTCATTGCTTTAAGCTCAAGTCGCATCTTACTGGTAAAATACTCTGCCAATGAAGAGAACAAGTATGATTATCTACCAACTACTGTGAATGTATGCTCAGAACTGGTGAAGCTAGTTTTCTGTGTGCTTGTGTCCTTCTGTGTTATAAAGAAAGGTGAGTCTTGAAATGGTACTATGTAATCGCAGAATCAAAAAACATTAGAACTGGAAATGACAGTTTATATCATTCTGGTCCTTTTTATATCTGAGGAAGCTAAGACACTAACATAATTGTGTTTTATTATAGGTAGAGAAGTATGCTCAAAGTATTCTGTAGAGCTGTACTAGAAAGGACAGAGCTAGTACATGAACCCACACATCCTGTCCACTGCTTTCCCTCATACTTGTTCTTGTTATGGTTTCACAAGCCCATTGGTTTTTTATCTAAATTCAGGATTTTCTAAATCACTGCTAATGTGAGGTGCTATGCATCATATTGCAAAACAGTTCCCATTTTGTACAGGGAAGTCACCATAGTAACTCTGGAGTCAAAGAGGTACTATGTTTTGAGGTAGAACTATTAAATAGGAATAGTAATCCTTTCCTCAAATGTAAAAGTATTACCCTTTATGGAATGTACAGGTCTTTGTCGTAATTCTTCACCTCATTTCTCCAGTTATGAACCCTTAACCCTCTGCTTCTTTGATCTGCCTTCTCAGATGAGGTAAACGTAAAATGTAAAGCATTAAAGTGATTGCCTGGGAACATGACTTTAAACATTCAAGGGTTTCAATCTGTGTAGAGTTTCTAGTTAGTGGAATACTAGTTAGTTTTAATTTCATGAAACGCAAGCATTACTTGCAGAGTTTAAACTGTTTGCTTCTCTTTTCATTTTACATTCTCCTGTTGCAGTGTTTGGCAGTCTGGAACTGGATAAAAACTCACACTAGAATTAGTAAAAGTTAATTTTAATTGCTTTAGTTCGATATGTATAAATTTCTACATATTAATTCTGTTTCCTGGTCTTCTGCAGGGTAGGAAGGAATCCCAACATGAAACTTGTTTCCCCAACACACTTATTCTAACATTGATTTTTCTCTTACTCTTATGCTCTCAGAGATATAAGAGAAACCACATGTGTATCTTGAGTCAACTTAAACAATACTTCTGCTTTAAGTTAACAGTAATTAGGATAATCAGTATTATCCTAATAAGGATGTTGCTGATTGTCAGTGATAGGACACAAAAGTGGGTTAGAGAGAGACTAGTAAAATTTCATATTATCTTTTTTTTATAGGCTAATGACCACTTAGGAAGCAAGCTTATAAAACTCCTTTTGACGAATTCTATCAGTGATAAGATATAATGTACTTTCTCTAAAAATATAGGCTTTCTCATCAAGATTATTTATTTATTGCCCCATTTTTTTTCTGTAGAACCTCATCGAAATAGAAATTTGAGATGTGCTTCCTGGAAGGAATTCTGTAATTTCATGAAGTGGTCCATTCCTGCCTTTCTCTATTTCCTGGACAACTTGATTGTCTTCTATGTCCTATCCTATCTTCAGCCTGTAAGTAAATATGACAGAATGCCATTGAAACGATAACAGAGAAATGAGTCCCAGAAAGTATCTTCCTTTTTTTTTTCCATCATTTTCCTCGACTGTCTTAAGTTTCTTGTGGCTCTGACTGACCTTGCTGAAATTTTCCCAGATTCATTAGAAAGTGAAATTATGGATCTGCTTGCCAGGTTCTGTCACTGTTAGAGATTACTATATTAAAGTGTACTGACTGCTATGGTGGAGTTGCTCCTTGTTCCAAGAGATCTGAAGCCATGCCTCTTTGTGTAACCTTAGTCAGTCTGCCTATATTCTGAGCCATACTGTAATCAACCTCTAATCTCAATCTCAACATCCAAGCAGACTTCCATTATTAACTCAGAAAATATCTCTCTTACACCTGTTCTAATGTAGTTTAAATGCTTTCTATTTGTGTAGATTTTCTTTTTTATTAATTTTATCATTTAACCAGCAAATTCTTTGAGAGTAAGGATTGTATCCTCCCAACTGAAAAAGCCTTTGTGTCACTTTGGAAAGCCATCAGTAATCAACATTGAAGTTTGGTCTTCTGCTTTTACCCTTTACTCAGTTTGATACTCAAATATGTATTCCTATTAACATCTTATAAAATGAGTATCTCTATTGCCTTTATTGCCAGAATGTGTTTTAAGTTTCTTTAAAAGGTTAAAGTGGGCATTTTGGTTGTAAGTAGGATTTTTATTGTCACTGATCTCTGTGAAACCTGTTACATGTAACCAGGTGAATTTTAGAACAGGATGAAAAGG